CACGGAGAGCATCCGAGAGCCAGGGTGCAGGAGGACTGGCACGGGCTGGCCTGGATGCAAGAGGACATAATCGGTCTAGACATGATGCTAGTGTGGAGCAGAGTGTATTAGTGGCACTGTTCGAATCAAGTGCAGTGAGTTTGCGAGATGGAGGAAGAGAGTCTGAAACAATGGTGGATAGTCTATTGGGTGAGAGAGATCGTAGGTTTCTGCGAAAGGTAACCAGTGTTGGAGTGTGTGGCGGCTCAGGAGTAATGTGGATGTTGAGAGACAGAAGGAAATGATCAGATATTTGTAGTGGAGTTACTATTGTTTGATCAGTGAAGCAGTGTCGTGTGTAAATAAGGTCTAGCTGATTACCTGATTTGTGGGTAGCAGAAGTAGGTGCTCTTTTTAGGTCAAAAGAGGCAAGCAGAGTCTGAAAGTCTGCAGCTTGCGGTTTGTCAACGTAAATGTTGAAGTCACCTAGCACCAATAAGGGAGTGGCAAAATTAGAAAAAGATGAGAGAAGAACATCCAGTTCATCTAGGAAGTGACCTAATTTACCTGGTGGGCGGTAGATGACAACCACATTTATGTAGAAGGGGTGGATAATGGTGACTGCATGGAATTCAAAGGAGCTGATTGTTGGCAGGGACGGTATCAGAGTAAATTTCCATTCTTTGGAAATTAGTAGTCCAGTCCCACCCCCTCTCCCTGTCTGACGAGGAGTGTGGGAAAAAGAGAAATTAGCAGAAAGAGTAGCATGTGTAGTAGTGTCCTCCGGCCTCAACCAGGTCTCAGTTAGAGCCATGAGATTATAGTCAGAATATGTAGCTATGGAGGTAATAAAATCAGCCTTTTCCTTTACATATAAAAGCCATGCCTTTTCCTTTACATATAAATCACGGCAGAGGAGAAAACACACGCTGACCTCTGCTGTCTTCCTTCTGACTGAAAAGCACTACAATATGCTCTTCTGATGGAGAATATTCCAGAGTCCAGTGCTCATAAAGCCTACGGTCCTCATCTTGGAGATATTTTATTTATATTTATTAGGGATGCTCTGATCAGGATTTTTGCAGTCGACTCGTTGTCATGGTGATTACAGAGTGATACAGAGGACTGACTATGAAGCTTCAAGCTTTATAATGCATTAAGCACTTTCTCCCGCTAAGTATGATGCATGGAGATCTCCCCTTACCCAAGAGAATAAATGAAAGATGTTGCATATTACCCCTTAAATACATCTCTTTTTGTATTTAACATTTACAAGTGTGTGGCAGCAGCTGAACACTGAAGTTCTAGTGAACTGAAGCTGTGTCAGTCCAGTGTTCAGAGCTGAAGATCAGTTCAGTGTGGTTTAATCTTCACTGCCAAGCATCCAAACACTGAAGAGCAAATCCATCCATGAACAGAAACACAAGACCCAAACCAAGCAGGACAGTGGAGGAACAGACTTCACCAATTGACCTTGAGAAACCTATCATGGCCAGAAGCATCTTTACAGAAAATAATATAACACATAATATTTGATAGGAAATATTACAATCAATCGCTCCGCTCGCACCACAGCAGATCAAAACCCTGGAAATACAATGGCTGCACTTGCAAGAAAGAGACCATCACTCACGCGAGTCTACTGTTGCCACGATTCTGGAATTTATACCAGTATACCGGAAAGGCTCCAGTGTCCCTGTATCTGTGGTTACATGCAGTAAACAGTGGTGAGTTCGGTAAACTGATGACCTTAATGGCCAATCGCAGTCATTTCTGTTGAGCACCTGAACACAATGGCCAATCAGTGCTGTCTAAGAATACGCTCAACAGCGCTCGAATGGATGCTTTTAAAATTTCTGTACCGACTTTTCCAAATTTCAGTATCGTGACAACCCTACGTGAGTCACACCAATAGTCTATATAAACAGAGGTCGTGCCGCATCTGTATATTTTTTAGCTGCCATGACGCGAGCGCATCGATCGTTCTCGCCTCCACACACCTTCACCTTCTCCTGTGTTGTGGCTGCTGTAGGCTATGCCCAATATACAGGAGCACAAGTGACTTCCTCTGCTTGTAAACTCCTAAACAAACACCTGTGATCAGTTCATGAGATCAGCCTTATGAAGAGTCATTAACTGTGATTATAGGCTGATCAATCGGAGTATCCCTAAATATTATTATTCAGATTTCTGTTTTCAACCAAATAACCGTTCAATGTCTATTGAAGATTCTTTGTACAGCACCTTTCACAACCAATACTGTTCCACAGCAGCGGCACTAAAGGCCCACATCATTACATGACAGTCAGGGTAGTGTAGAAGCATCATTAGCCTGCAGTTACACCGTGTGTATACTGTCCTTTCCTAAGGAATAATATGATGTCAGTTTACTGGCTCTGTATGTATCAGTTCAGGCCCCATTTAGGCATCGACACACGTCTATACTTCTACAGCTCTTTATCAGTGTAGATTGTGTCAAAGCAGCTCAACATACATGCAGAGCAGAAACTATAGGCCATATCAATATTTCAGACTGCAGCCCATATTCAGTATATCAGGCAGTTTAACACGAATGAAGAGGCAGTGTGAAAAGTACCAAAAATACCCCCGCCCCGTATTATCTCCATGATGCAGTAAAGACCTCTGGTGGACAGGAGGCGCTCCTGTGGTCCGCACTGTATTTCTGTGCAGACGGACCTCTCAGGAATTTCCCTGGACGTGAGCTGAGAAAACAATCTCTCAGCCATCGCCATCAAACACAAACGACCACAACCTTCATCTATTTTTATAAGTCTCCTAGCCTCGAGCCTGCAGACAGCTGTCAAGGATGATGCTGCGAGTGAGACATTTTCCAGAGCTTATAAGGTCTGCTGGGATCTTCAGGAAGATTCTGTCCTGCCGAAAACAGACCCGGTGACCTGTAGGAATACAAACAGATGAAACGTTACTGCCATTATCAAGGCCATGATCGTTTAACCCATAGCTGAAGGACAAAGCCCGTCACATTCTTCTGTCACAGAGCTGCTGTGGCCTTTCAGACTGCGCACACCTTTCAGGTGTCAGAGACGGGCTCTAGTTAAATGAAGAGAGTATTTGCCAACTCAATGAATTAACATGTTGAATATTCTCTTAGTGTTTGTGTGTGGGTGTTTGTGTATGCATGTTCATTTATACTTTATTTTTATACCCTGCCTGCTGCAACAGAAATATCTCCACTGTGTGATGAAAGAAGAGATCAATCAATCAATCAATCAATCAATCAATATTGATTTACAGCCACCAGTGTTCCCACAACCAAATAGCAAATTCCATGACTAAAACACTTACATTACACTACTTACATCACATTACATGTATGAATGGGGAAAGCATGTCATTGTTGAGTATCTTCTATAATAGTAAAAATATTACATTATTAAGTTTTGTTGTTGTTGTTGTTGTTGTTTTAATCATGTGTCAGGATTTTATTTGGCCTCTGAGTGTTGCAGCTTGTGAAGGCTTTCCTCTCAGACCTGTGACCTTCTCTATGTGAGGTGAAACTGCTGATGATTTTTTGTGTTTGTTTCTGTCCCCCAGGAGTACAATAAAAACATTTGACTTTATTTATTATTTTATACATTACTCAATGACATAGTGTTAAGGACAGTATTATGTCTATGGGTTGCTGCTGGACACACACACAGTAGATGGAAGCATTTACGGACAATAAAATGATTGAAAAACTGAGATGAACATGTGCTATGAAGAGAGAGAAAATCTCATCAGACCTGTGCGTTTACCAGTTAAAGCTGCTGGTTCTGTCAACAGACTCTTGTGATGAAAGAAGAACAGCAATGCCTTCTTTGATGAGGCGTATTAATAAAAATGCTTGAGCAGCAGAAGTGCTGCAACCGTACACCAGAAGCTCGCAGACGCTCCCCCACAGCTGAGCCGTGGCCAACACACAAGCTGCTCATCCATACACAGCCATATAGGGAACGCCTGCTCATTTACAACTCTGTGTGTAGCTTTTCATCCACTGAGCTTGCACTAATGTCTCGATGTTCCTGAGGGCTTCACTGTAAACAAAAATCATCTGAAACCCACTCGGCCTCTTACATTATCAGCTATTTCAGCTAAAAACCAGTGATGAGAACATTAATGGTCAAGGCTGTATATTTAGATTGCATTCCTCCCCACACCACAAACCCTCTTCATTAATATGACTTGAGCCTATTTATAAACATGCTTGACTTAGAGATGCACTGAAATTGTATACCAGAGCCACCTGACAGCTCCTCCACGGCCGTGCCCACATTGGTGAAGTGCCAGGGAGATTATCTGAGGCCGCAAAGGCACACTGAAGTCATGAGCATCTGAATGCCATTTCCATAGAGCCAAATGTCTGGGGTGTTCAGTCCTGCCAATACAAATCTGATAATAAAGACTTGACTAGAAGTATTAATTGGGGTAGCAGAACTATCTTCATCTTAAATGCTTCATCTAGTGCCTTTGGGCCAGACAAAATCAACAAGGTTGTTTGCCCATTCACCACTACAGGACATTTGCCTGTTTTTAACCTCTTCTTTTCTGGCTTACTCTCTATGGTTTAACCAGTGAAAACATGATGTCCTTTGCATGTCTTCTTCTGTTCAAGTAAAAATCCGATATTGAGCACACAAAAATACTTTCATCTTTTGTGAAAACTCAGTAGAGTATCTGCTGCAGACAATGTGAAGTCACGTGCACATACAACTATCACAATAGAAAGAATTGATCCTTTTAGACCACTATGTGTATCAAGTGATCAATATACAAATACAGAGAATTAAATTAATCCTAAATTCAGAGCCACTTCACTGACATCTTATCAATCAGTCCATAGGGTGTGTAACTGTATCCTAGGATAAAAATAACAGAACAGTTCAACACAATCATATATATAGACATTAAAACCCAACCCATTACAACCAAAAACAGTGCGCCTCGACTGCCGAGACAATGTCTTGAGAGTATAAAAGGAAACATCTTACATCTGAAGGACTGTCAGCCACTGGGGAGGTAAGAGAACAAAACATGACATTATTAATAACTGCATTTGATTGCTGTTTGTATACTTCAGAAAATTGGTTAATATTGGAAAATATATCAGAACAAACAAAACATGCTAAACATTACTTTATTATTATTATTAGTAGTAGTAGTATTAAATACTATCCTCATATGCATTTCACAGAACCCAGCAGAAACCCTTCAACTCTTGAAAACAAGAAGGTGAGCAGCTTGGATGTACATGTCGTCATATCCTGCATCGTTCTGAATAGTACTGTGAAATGCAAGATACTGGAAAACATTTCTTCAGATCTAAGCAAAGATAGACAATTAACCTCTTAACCTCTTAACATTTTATAAGAAAAGTACAACCATGGGGGATGGAGAAATGGAGTGTTTTGGCCCGGCGGCCATTTACCTCCGGAAGCCAGAGAGAGAGAGAATAGAGGCCCAGAACACTCCCTTTGATGCCAAATCGGCGTACTTTGTGATCGATGCAGACGAGATGTACCTGAAGGGTACTCTTACAAGTAGAGAGGGTGGCAAAGCTACTGTCAAAACTCACAGTGGGAAAGTAAGCATCACACAGAAAATATAAGCCTTTAAGTTACTGTGTTTGATTCTGTGTAAGTTCAGATATTGTCCAACAGTGAAAACAGAAAGTCTCAATGTTCATTTCAGACCGTCACGGTAAAAGAAGATGAGGTTTTCCCCATGAATCCTCCCAAGTTTGACAAAATTGAGGACATGGCCATGATGACCCACCTCAACGAGCCATCTGTGCTGTATAACCTCAAAGAGCGTTACGCAGCATGGATGATCTATGTGAGTCTCTGTGAATCTTATTTTACTCCTGCACTGTAAAAAAATGACTCAACTTAAAATTTTAGGGCAACAAACTTCAGGACATTTTTGAGTTGACTCAACTTTCAACCCAATTACTGCATGTGACTCAATTTAGTTGAGAAAACCTTAAAAACCTCCTGAAGTTTGTTGCCTTAATTTTAAGTTGTCAACTTTTTTTATTTGCTAAGTGGTGGACGGGGTAGCAGCACTGTAAAACTGGACTGTCAATCTCTGTTTCAGACCTACTCTGGCTTGTTCTGCGTCACTGTCAATCCATACAAATGGCTCCCAGTGTACGACGCAGTTGTTGTGGCTGGATACAGAGGCAAGAAGAGGATTGAAGCCCCACCTCACATCTTCTCCATCTCTGACAACGCCTACCAGTTCATGCTCACTGGTAAGTGCTTACCAACTATGTAGAAAACCACACATAGCTGCAATTTTTCTGCTAAACAGAAGATTGAAAATAAATAAATTTTGTAAGTTAATAAACATTACCTCACAGTACTGCTTATTCTCATCTAAACTGTTTGCATAAGCAGATATCATATTCATTACTAACAATACATGAACAAAAAAGCAAAGAATCCCTGAGTGCACTCTATGCTTGATTTTTAGATCGTGAAAATCAGTCTGTTCTGATTACGTGAGTAAACACAAATTAAATTAAGCATTTTCAATGGAAAAGGGTGCTCTTAGGAGTGTCTTTAAGTCCTTATGTAACACCTAACTATACTAATAATCAGTGTTATCACTTACTCAATCCGCAATTTGTACAGTAGATAGCCACAACCTAGCACTGAACCTAATGAACCTCCAGTGCTGGGAAACACCAATACAATCTCTCATTCAACAGTACAGCCTATTGAGTTATTTAGGTGTCACCTGTTTTGAAAACATTGCTAAGATTCCATTAACAACAATTCTACCTTTAATTTTAAAATAATTTTCAGATCGTGAAAACCAGTCTGTCCTGATCACGTGAGTAAATATTTTCCAACAACAAAAAAAATTAATATGATAATGTGAACCATATATTTTCTAAACAAATGATAATCTTGTGTAAATCTCTATAGTGGAGAATCTGGTGCAGGAAAGACTGTGAACACGAAACGTGTCATTCAGTACTTTGCAACTGTTGGTGCCATGTCTGGAGCAAAGAAACAAGAGCCTGTTGCTGGAAAAATGCAGGTCAGTGAACACCTATTCATGTGGTGAATTACAGAATTTAAACTTCACCTAATACCTGTCCACTGTACTAAAATACCATCCAGGGGTCACTGGAGGACCAGATCATTGCTGCAAACCCTCTGCTGGAGGCTTATGGTAATGCCAAGACTGTGAGGAATGACAACTCCTCTCGTTTTGTAAGTTAAATATATAACTTTACATTTAAAAAAAAAATGACACATTTTAAACCTTCTAAATGGTTAAGCTTAAGTAAATAAATCTGTAGGGAAAATTCATCAGGATTCATTTTGGGTCCACTGGAAAACTGGCCTCAGCTGACATTGAAACCTGTGAGTTGAAAATATTTTAAAGCAAAGATTAACAAGCATGCAAAATGTACATAAATCAGCTTTTTTGTTGTTTTTGTTGTTCCAAAGATCTGCTGGAAAAGTCAAGAGTAACATTCCAGCTGTCTGCTGAGAGGAGTTACCACATCTTCTACCAGCTCATGACTGGACACAAGCCAGAGCTGCTGGGTGAGAAACCTACAGGACTGTCTGTTTCAGGTCTTCTTGAAAACCCTGTTAACATATACTGTACATCAATTCTTCACAGAGGCCCTGCTCATCACCACCAACCCTTATGACTATCCAATGATCAGCCAGGGTGAAATCACTGTCAAGAGCATCAATGATGTGGAGGAGTTCATTGCCACAGATGTATGTGGACAAAAAATAATATCAGTGTTGTCTTCATGAAATATATAGACATAGATAGAAAATAACCCTCAATACTGAATTACATGTGTTATAAGATACCATCTCTTTTTGGCTTTCGAGTTATATGTTTAATTGGTTTGTGTAAAACAGACTGCCATTGACATTCTGGGTTTCACTGCTGATGAGAAAATCGCCATCTACAAGCTGACCGGTGCTGTGATGCATCATGGGAGCATGAAGTTCAAACAGAAGCAGAGAGAGGAGCAGGCTGAACCTGATGGCACTGAGGGTAAGACATGGCAGAAGCACATATTAGCATGCCAACATTGGCTTCATCAGTGACAATAATGTGTAAATCTGTTCTTCCTCAGTGGCTGATAAAATCGCCTACCTCATGGGCCTCAACTCTGCTGACATGCTGAAAGCTCTGTGTTACCCCAGAGTGAAGGTCGGAAACGAGATGGTGACCAAAGGCCAGACAGTCCCGCAGGTGATCACTTACCTGCTTGATAGATGAATGCATCTAGAAATTTCTAAAAGACCTGAACAGCAGAAAATAAAGCCTAATATCAACTAAACCGACTCTTGAATTTCTCAGGTGAACAACGCAGTGTCAGCTCTCTGCAAGTCTGTCTATGAGAAAATGTTCTTGTGGATGGTCATCCGTATCAATGAGATGTTGGACACAAAGCAGCCCAGACAGTTCTTCATTGGTGTGCTGGACATTGCTGGATTTGAGATCTTTGATGTAAGCAACAGTCATTTAGGAGCATCATATCATTTAGGAGTCAAAGACTAACAGTCATTAGTAAGAACTTGCCTCTGCTCTATTACCAGTACAACAGCTTGGAGCAGCTTTGCATCAACTTCACAAATGAGAAACTGCAACAGTTCTTCAACCACCACATGTTTGTTCTGGAGCAAGAGGAGTACAAGAAAGAAGGCATCGAATGGGAGTTCATTGACTTCGGTATGGACTTGGCTGCCTGCATTGAGCTCATTGAGAAGGTAAGAAGACATTCAGCAGCTTAAATGCCTATTCACATCATGCCTGTACTTAATAATGAGTGTGAATATTTCTTCGACAGCCAATGGGCATCTTCTCCATCCTTGAAGAGGAGTGCATGTTCCCCAAGGCCACAGACACAAGCTTTAAAAACAAACTACATGACCAGCATCTGGGCAAATGTTCAGCTTTCCAGAAGCCCAAGCCTGCCAAAGGTAAGGCAGAGGCTCACTTCTCTCTAGTGCACTACGCCGGCACTGTGGACTACAACATTGTTGGCTGGCTGGATAAGAACAAGGATCCACTGAACGACTCTGTTGTGCAACTCTACCAAAAGTCATCGGTCAAACTGTTATCCTTCCTGTATGCCTCTCATGCCGCTGCTGAAGGTACAACTATCTGCATTTACTGAATTCTGATTTTACGAGTATCTGAAACATCTGTCATTATAAAAAAAATATTGAATGAATAATGTAAATAACAAAACATTGACATTTTTTTTGTCATTAAACAGCTGAGGGTGGTGGAGGAAAGAAAGGAGGCAAGAAGAAGGGTGGTTCCTTCCAGACTGTGTCTGCACTGTTTAGGGTAACCAGATTCTCTCTTCTGATGAAGGATGTGAAATTCATTGTGCATTAAAGATTAGACTAATGCAAACACTTCCACAGGAGAACTTGGGTAAGCTGATGACTAACCTGAGGAGCACTCACCCTCACTTTGTGCGCTGCTTGATTCCTAATGAGTCCAAGACTCCAGGTATACATGATCTCTAATAGCTTCAATGCGTCACAGTTCTGAAAATATTTCTGGAACCAATAAAATATCTTTCATTCAGGTCTGATGGAGAACTTCCTGGTTATCCACCAGCTCAGGTGTAACGGTGTGCTGGAGGGTATCAGAATCTGCAGGAAGGGTTTCCCCAGCAGAATCCTCTACGGTGACTTCAAGCAGCGGTAATGATACTCTCACTACCTCTAACTTAAACATGATGCACTAAATATACTTCAACATCTGATAATTCTGATTTTGAAGTTTTACAACATGACTCTCACTGAATATTCTCCAGGTACAAAGTATTGAATGCTAGTGTCATTCCTGAGGGACAGTTCATCGACAACAAAAAGGCTTCAGAGAAACTCTTGGGCTCTATTGATGTTGATCACACCCAATACAAGTTTGGACACACCAAGGTGAGCTACTCTGTAAAACGTGCAGAACAGTTTAACACAAAATATAGTTGAATTCTGTCATGCATCATTAAACTTGAAACATATTTTATAACTCTGGGACAAGATCAAAAACAGAGAAAGATAAAAAATAATCCATCTTAACCTTAAAATACGACAATATTTTGGGTAAAACAATAAGTGTATGGCAAATATGGTAACCTATACTTAAATTGTTGGCTGCATTTATTCAGAGTTAGTGCACACAAACTAGAAACATTTACGTTTCGGGATAGCTGCTATGTTTAAGAATCCAACCGGCAATATTTTTCTATAAAAGACACATTTTTCTATTAAACTTTTGACTCCAAAAACAGTAATATATTAAAAACGTCATACTGTGTGCTTCAGGCCACACACATTTGAAGTGGACTGCTTGACTTCAACATGACACCACTAATGCCTGCCAAATGTTCATTTAGGTGTTCTTCAAAGCTGGTCTGCTGGGTACTCTTGAGGAGATGAGAGACGAAAAACTTGCAACGTTGGTTACCATGACTCAAGCTTTGTGCCGTGGATTCGTCATGAGAAAGGAGTTTGTCAAAATGATGGAGAGGAGGTACAATTGACTTATACCAGTAAAACTGTTTGAGGGAAAAAAGCAATTTGTTACCAACAACTGGTTAAGGCTTATTTACTTATTACATTTTTTACAGAGAAGCAATTTATTCCATCCAATACAACATCCGCTCATTCATGAATGTCAAACATTGGCCATGGATGAAGCTCTACTTCAAGATCAAGCCTCTTCTGAAGAGTGCAGAGACTGAGAAAGAAATGGCAGCCATGAAGGAGAACTTTGAGAAAATGAAAGAAGATCTAACGAAGGCATTGGCTAAAAAGAAGGAGCTGGAGGAGAAAATGGTGTCACTTCTTCAGGAGAAAAATGACCTTCAACTACAAGTAGCATCTGTGAGTATTTAATTTATTTTATTTTATTTTATATGGAAGCAACAACTATGAACATAAGTCAATAACTGTATCCATCTGAATGATCAGGAAAGTGAAAACCTCTCAGATGCTGAGGAGAGATGTGAAGGTCTCATCAAAAGCAAGATCCAGCTCGAGGCTAAACTCAAAGAGACAACCGAGAGGCTGGAAGATGAGGAGGAAATCAATGCTGAACTGACGGCCAAGAAGAGGAAGCTGGAGGACGAATGCTCCGAGCTGAAGAAAGACATTGATGACCTGGAGCTCACTTTAGCCAAAGTGGAGAAGGAGAAACATGCAACAGAAAATAAGGTTCACATTATTTTCACATCTTCACACTGTGCTGTTCAGTTTCTTGAGAATACAATCAAAGAGCAATGTTTCCATTTTAGGTGAAAAACCTGACAGAGGAGATGGCCTCTCAGGATGAGAGCATTGCCAAGCTGACCAAAGAGAAGAAAGCCCTCCAAGAGGCGCATCAGCAGACCCTTGATGACCTTCAGGCAGAGGAAGACAAAGTCAACACTCTGACTAAATCTAAGAGCAAGCTTGAGCAGCAAGTGGATGATGTAAGATGTTTAACGTAACTTTAATTACTTCTGTAAACAACACCAAATTTTAATGTTCTGGTTTCTGTAACAACAGCTTGAGGGCTCCCTGGAGCAAGAGAAGAAGCTCCGTATGGATCTTGAGAGAGCCAAGAGGAAGCTTGAGGGTGACCTGAAACTGGCCCAAGAGTCCATAATGGACCTGGAGAACGACAAGCAGCAATCCGAGGAGAAGATCAAGAAGTGAGTGGACTGCAGCCTGCACACAATTATACTATTTAATATATATATATATATATTAAAATGTATTTAAAAATATTTTAACAACAGGAAAGACTTTGAGATAAGCCAGCTCCTCAGCAAGATTGAGGATGAACAGTCTTTGGGAGCACAGCTTCAGAAGAAGATCAAAGAACTTCAGGTAACACTAATTGACACTAAATATTTTTTATAAATGAAATATATATATATTTTTTGTGTGGAGTTTCCATGTTTTCCCCCACAGTCCAAAGACATGCACTATATCTAAATTGGGTAAACAAAATTGGACATAGTGTATATGCGTTCTGTGAATGAACGTCGCCTCGTGGTTCCATCCCAAAGAGGGAAGAAATCACTTTCGCGAACGCTCACGCTCAATCTGCCCAGTTGGTGGAATGAACTCCCTAACTGCATCAGAACAGCAGAGTCACTCGCTACTTTCAAGAAACGACTAAAAACTCAACTATTTAGTCTCCACTTCACTTCCTAATCTGCAATTGCCTCTCTAAATATCACACTAACTGTACCCCCAAAAAAAAAAATACTAATACTACTACTAATACTTTCCTTCTTAGACTTTACAGACCTGAAACTTGCCTATATCACTTATTCATTGTTGTTCTTCTAGTTGTGTAAATTGCTTCCTTGTCCTCATTTGTAAGTCGCTTTGGATAAAAGCGTCTGCTAAATGACTAAAAATGTATAAGTGCATGTGTGAAGTCTGTAGGTGTGTGCAGTACTATGTTGCAGCTGGAAGGGCATCCACTGCGTAAAACATGGTGGTTCATTCCACTGTGGCAACCTCTGAAAAAACAAGGGACTAAGCTAAAGAAAAATTAAAAAATGAATAAATCTTTATTACAAATGGCACAAAATTATCACTTTTTTTTGTTTAGGCCCGTATTGAGGAGCTGGAGGAGGAAATCGAGGCTGAACGAGCTGCTCGTGCTAAAGTGGAGAAGCAGAGAGCCGATCTCTCCAGGGAACTTGAAGAGATCAGTGAGAGGCTTGAGGAAGCTGGAGGTGCCACTGCTGCCCAGATTGAGATGAACAAGAAGCGTGAAGCAGAATTCCAGAAGCTGCGTCGTGATCTGGAAGAGTCCACCTTGCAGCATGAAGCTACGGCTGCAGCTCTCCGAAAGAAGCAGGCAGACAGTGTGGCTGAGCTCGGAGAACAGATCGACAACCTCCAGCGGGTCAAGCAGAAGCTGGAGAAGGAAAAGAGTGAATACAAGATGGAGATTGATGACTTGTCAAGCAACATGGAGGCTGTGGCTAAAGCAAAGGTAATGTCGTAATTAAATCATAACAAATATATAAAACCCTATTTGCAGACACCTGTACATAACTCTAAATGTCTTTAGGCTAATTTAGAGAAGATGTGCCGCACTCTTGAAGATCAGCTGAGTGAAATCAAGACCAAAAGTGATGAAAATATTCGCCAGTTGAATGACATGAATGCACAACGGGCAAGACTTCAGACTGAAAATGGTAAGACATGGCAGGTAAAAAAACTAAAAGAATTTATTAAAAGTTCAGGTAAAAAAAGCTCTATTCATGATAATACCCATTATCTT